AAACGTCTGCGTCAAGGTAGTGTATAAACCAGTATATATTTTGAACTATACGTTTTGTAGTTAAATAATTAACAATCTAAGGGGTGGAAATGGTGAAGGTAGAGCCTGCAGATGTTTAGCATTTAAATTGATGGTATGAATTAGTGCTGCCGAATTACAAATTCCGGCATAATGTAATTTTACTATTTTTTTAGTGCCAGACGCAGGCAAAAGAAAAAAATCAAACGTCTGCGTCAAGGTAGTGTATAAACCAGTATATATTTTGAACTATACGTTTTGTAGTTAAATAATTAACAATCTAAGGGGTGGAAATGGTGAAGGTAGAGCCTGCAGATGTTTAGCATTTAAATTGATGGTATGAATTAGTGCTGCCGAATTACAAATTCCGGCATAATGTAATTTTACTATTTTTTTAGTGCCAGACGCAGGCAAAAGAAAAAAATCAAACGTCTGCGTCAAGGTAGTGTATAAACCAGTATATATTTTGAACTATACGTTTTGTAGTTAAATAATTAACAATCTAAGGGGTGGAAATGGTGAAGGTAGAGCCTGCAGATGTTTAGCATTTAAATTGATGGTATGAATTAGTGCTGCCGAATTACAAATTCCGGCATAATGTAATTTTACTATTTTTTTAGTGCCAGACGCAGGCAAAAGAAAAAAATCAAACGTCTGCGTCAAGGTAGTGTATAAACCAGTATATATTTTGAACTATACGTTTTGTAGTTAAATAATTAACAATCTAAGGGGTGGAAATGGTGAAGGTAGAACCTGCAGATGTTTAGCATTTAAATTGACTCCTAATTCCCATATATAAACGTGTCGAAGAGAAGATGCTGAACAAAACAAAAAAAGTAAAAATAAAACAAAAGACTGCATGATATTGAGGTAAATAGAGCATTTTATAATTGAACACTAATCCCCCTAGTTTAAGTTTTATTTATAACACGAGAATATGGCCGCTTCACGACCTGCAAGGCAACTCAATTCAACCAGAGTCAAAAACTCGTTGCGAGCGAACGTACTTCCTTTGGTAAGTGAACACCTTTTTGAAAGAAATTATTGATGTGTTAACTACGGATTGAGAGAAATATTACTGCCAAGCCTTTAATATAAGCGACACGGGCATTGGTGCGATCTTATTTGCTTCTCGTTCGTGTGCTGCATACTGTTTAATCCAGTTTGATATACAGATAAGATATAGATATAATGGCTGCACGACCGGCAAGACAACTCAACTCAACAAGAATTATAAACTCTTTACGAGCGAACATCCTTATCATGTACCATTTTAGTATCGTCGCCTAAATGTACCAATAATACTATAAGCTTAAGGGTTATATAAAGGTGTGTAATCATATAATTATATTCTTTTTCTTTCGCTGGTTGACATTTTATGTGCGTGTATATTTATGATGCGATATTTATGAAATATATTATTATATCTCTGTTGATATCTTTATCTTTCATTTTCTTCTCAGCAACAGCCACAACGGAAGAAACAACAGCAGCCGCATGGACACAATTCGAGAAAGTAAGTCAATCTAATCTATTTTTCTAAAATATATTATTTATAGGATATTTATGTAATTAATTACTGTCTCTATAAGTTAGCCACTAAAGCCAAAGGGGTGGAAATGGTGATGGGTAGAGCCTGCAGATGTTTAGCATTTAAATGCACCACCTGTTCCCAAATTCACCGGAAAAAGTGACTTAACTGAAGCCATTCACATATTTGAAAAATTCCTGAAGCGGTTCGATAATGCTCTATATAAGGTAAAACATTATTAATTTACATTTCTAGTGTAGTTGCTTTTCACTATACTGTTTTATATTTATTTCCGCCATAAGCACATTTGAGGCTTCTCAAGGAGACGATGACGTGATTTTTCCTGCCGTCGCCTATTTTATCGCGTACTCTCGAAGCGACGTTTGGGAAGAGTAAATTATTTTTATATTAAATTTTTTTTAAATAATCGACACGAGGGTAGGTGCGTGGTTAAAGATCACAAGTCAACAATCACAACGAATGGTCCAAGCCAGTAACAGTCATGGTGTTCAGCATGCTCTGGACAATATGGCCAATCCATTGTCTTCATCTCGCACATCGTCAAATTTCTTCCAAGCGGATCAACCAGCGGTCGCTTATTTTATTGTCTTTTCTCGAAGCGATGTCTGTAACGTCTGGAAATTATTTTTGGCGAGCTACACCACGAAGACACCGAAGCGGTCGTGGCAAGGTTATTATATATATATAAGTGTATATTTTTTTGAATTTAATATCTACTGCATATTTAATATCTATTGAATTTAATGCCTATAAAGCTTATAACTACAAATTTAACAATAAACATTGTAGCCTAAATGAATTAAGTTATGATATATATAAGAGTCATATTATTATTAAACAACTTTGAACTTTGAACGTGCGGTCTTATTTGCTGCTCAGAGTTCGTGGATCGATCAATATAATAATGGCATCCCACCCGGCAAAACAACTCAACTCAACCACAGTCAAAAACTCATTGCGAGTAAATATACTTCCTTTGGTAAGTGAACACCTTTTTGAAAGAAATTATTGATGTGTTAACTACGCAATGAGAGAAATACCACTACCAAGCCTTAAGCCTTTCTAGCGAAGACCTTATAAAATAACCAACACGAGGATAGGTGCGGTCTTATTTGCTGCTTGTCGTTCGTGTCAAGTTATAAGTTTTTTTATGTATAACACGAGAATATGGCCGCTTCCCGCCCAGCAAAGCAACTCAACTCAACCAGAGTCAAAAACTCATTGCGAGTAAATATACTTCCTTTGGTAAGTGAACACCTTTTTGAAAGAAATTATTGATGTGTTAACTACGGATTGAGAGAAATATCACTGCCAAGCCTTTAAAATAAGCGACACGAGCATTGGTGCGATCTTATTTGCTTCTCTTTCGTGTGCTGCATACTGTTTAATCAAGTTTGATATACAGATAAGATATAGATATAATGGCTGCAAGACCGGCAAGACAACTCAACTCAACAAGAATTAAAAACCCTTTACGAGCGAACATCCTTATCATGAACCATGCATTTTAGTGCCGTCGCCTAAATGTACCAATAATACTGTAAGCCTAAGGGTTATATAAAGGTGTGTAATCATATAATTATATTCTTTTTCTTTCGCTGGTTGACATTTTATGTGTGTGTATATTTATGATGTAATATTTATAAAATATATTATTATTATTTATAGGATATTTATGTAATTAATTACTGTCTCTATAAGTTAGCCACTAAAGCCAAAGGGGTGGAAATGGTGAAGGTAGAGCCTGCAGATGTTTAGCATTTAAATTGACTCCTAATCCCCATATATAAACGTGTCGAAGATAAGATGCTGAACAAAACAAAAAAAGTAAAAATAAAACAAAAGACTGCATGATATTAAGGTAATAGAGCATTTTATAATTGAACACTAATCCCCCCAATTTAAGTTTTATTTATAACAGAAGAGACAATATGGCCGCTTCACGACCATCAAGGCAACTCAATTCAACCAGAGTCAAAAACTCGTTGCGAGCCAACGTACTTCCTTTGGTAAGTGAACACCTTTTTGAAAGAAATTATTGATGTGTTAACCACGGATTGAGAGAAATATTACTGCCAAGCCTTTAAAATAAGCAACACGGGCATTGGTGCGATCTTATTTGCTTCTCGTTCGTGTGCTGCATACTGTTTAATCCAGTTTGATATACAGATAAGATATAGATATAATGGCTGCACGACCGGCAAGACAACTCAACTCAACAAGAATTATAAACTCTTTACGAGCGAACATCCTTATCATGTAACATTTTAGTATCGTCGCCTAAATGTGCCAATACTATAAGCCTAAGGGTTATATAAAGGTGTGTAATCATATAATTATATTCTTTTTCTTTCGCTGGTTGACATTTTATGTGTGTGTATATTTATGATGTAATATTTATGAAATATATTATTATTATTTATAGGATATTTATGTAATTAATTACTGTCTCTATAAGTTAGGCACTAAAGCCAAAGGGGTGGAAATGGTGATGGGTAGAGCCTGCAGATGTTTAGCATTTAAATGGACTCCTAATCTCCACATACAAACGTGTCGAAAAGAAGATGCTGAAGAAAACAAAAAAATAAAACAAAGGACTGCATGATATTCAGGTTAATAGAGCATTTTATAATTGAACACACTGTACTACTATATAATCGTAAAATTATTTGTAATTTTCGGACAGTTTGAAGCACGGCCCTGGTTTGGATCGTACAATTGTTTGGTGTTAGACAGAGTAAGGCAATGAAGTAGGATGCATTTGGACATATTGCAGCGTAATCGGTTAACATATGCCAACAAGTTAGCCCTGCATAGATATAGTATTTAAAGATCTGAGAATCCCAATCTAATAAACTTAATAACATGCAATTTGTTTCTTAGGGACTTGAGAGCTCGCCTGAATGCGAAGAAAGTAGTAAGTGCCTACAAATTTAGTAAATGATTATAATTGCTCAGATATTTATCAACTCTCCCGCTTAAGACCTTAGTCACACTTACAGTGACGGAGCTTGCGGAGCGAGCCTGAAGCGAGCGAGCATAGCAGCTGCCAAAGAGATGCTGAAGAAAACGAAAAAGTAAAACAAGAGACTGCATGATATTCAGGTAAGTAGAGCATTTTATAATTGAACACTAATCCCCCTAATTTAAGTCCCCCCCTTAGAGAAATATCACTACCAAGCCTTTCAAGTGAAGATGCAGACAAATTATTCAATATACAATGAGGTATCTGATGGAATATATTGACATGAGAATACACTCTTCCAAAGTTAATTTTTATGGCCATATATCTTTAATTTTCATTTTCTTGTTTGATTTCTTTCTTGTCATTTTTACAGTACTTTATAGCTAACTTTTGATTTTTTAATTCAATAGCCAGCAACCACTAAGTAGAAGTGAAGACGCAGACAAATTATTCAATATACAATTACTTTATGGTTTCTGTGTTTGGATGGCCTGGTTTGTCAATGCATAACTATTTGGTTGTTTTATTTGAAGTAAACATTACGAGAAGAGAGAAGACATGGTGAAGAACAACGTTGGAGAAGCGATGTAAGTAATATCTCACAATGCCTCACTACACATCATGTTTCTTATAGTTCATGTTGGAAATTATTGCATCTTGTATATATACCGCGTTTATTAAATTAACACAGACAAATTATTCAACAAGGTTTCTTTTCGTGCAAGTTTTTATGTGTGTGGTATTAGTGAAGCCACTATCCAAGTTAAAACTTTGTTTGTCAATGTATACATATTTTGTTGTTTTATTTGAAGGAAACAGTGCAAGAAGAGAGACGTCGTCGTCGAGATTTAGAAGTTTTGCTTGAGATAAGAGATGTATGTATAGGCCTAATGGCTGTATTGTAACATGTAAAAATGTCACAACTTAATTGTCAACAAGATGTGTTCGCAACAGGCTTTCAGTAAGCTAGTCAACAAGTTGTAACAATTTAAAGTTTGTTTGTTCACTGCAACCAGATAGGGCCCCCATCAGCCATACACAGCCTATCTATCTGTCTGGGGCCCTTAGTTTTGTAACCAACCTAAATGAAATGTCACGTTTGCAACCACATGATTTGGTCTATAGATCCAAAATACACAGGTATAGTTTCTGTAATCCTTTGCTTTGTTTATTAACGCAGACAAATTATTCAATATACAATTACTTTATGGTTTCTGTGTTTGGATGGCCTGGTTCGTCAATGTATAAATATTTTGTTGTTTTATTTGAAGGAAACATTACAAAGAGAGAGACGGCGTCGTGAAGCGTCAGAAGTTGCGCTAGAAGAACAACGTAAGAAAAGCGATGTAAGTAATGACTGTATTGTAGCACGTAAATATCTCAAAATAGATATGCCCCCAGTCTAAATCTCCTAGTACATATGCACTCCCTTTAGCGATCCAATGTAACTTTCCATTTGGTCAGTCTTTTACCTTGTATAATTGTTGTTTTACTGTATTAGGGGTGGAAATTACAAGTTAAAAACCGTGGCTGAACTTGATGCAGAGCTTGATAAATACCACGCTCAGGTATCCGATGGAATATATTGGCATGAGAACACATCCTTCCAGAAAGGACTTAGTCTTGGCCATACAGCCTTGTTCGGTGATTGAGATATTGAGCTTAGAGTTCTTTATCTTGTCACACAATTATGAATTATGCAGTTTATATTACACTTGATATAAACACCTGTTTATATAGTTCAAGTTAGATCATCAGTAACAAGATCTGATATTTCAATCATGAAAAGGTGACGGTATCACACATTGGACTCAACAGATATTGCATTAAGTATATAAGTGTATATAATTTAAAACATTTAAATGCAAAAATTAAGACTAAGTACAGACTTTTTAAACACAGTTTGTACTTTCTTAGGCAGTTTGTTGCGACCTCGACTATTTCCCATGTCTAATGTAACTGAAATATTTTCATGGCAACTAACACTTTTGAACACGCTGAGTTGAAATCCTAAAAGTTCCCGCTTCCTATTGACCCGCAGACTTTTCTATATATAATTTTATTTTTTTAGCATCGCCTAAATGGGCAGGTTCCCGTTGTTTTATAAAGGGTATGTAGTTATATAATTATTCTTTTATAGAACTAAGTTTTTTGTATAATTGTTTTACTGTTTTAGGGGTGGAAACAAGTTAAAAACGGCTGAAGACCTTGAAACAACAACGGTTGAAGGGGTTGAAACAAGAAGTTAAAAACAGCTCAAGAACTCGACGAAGAGCTCGATGAGTACCAGGCACGCTCAGGTATTTGATGGAATATATTGACACGAGAATACACTCTTCCAGAAAGGACTTATACTCTTGGCTATACAGCCTTGTTCGGTGATTGAGATATTGAGCTTAGAGTTCTTTATCTTGTCATAATTATGAATTATGCAGTTTATATTACACAACATTGACCCGCAGATTTTTCTATATATAATTTTATTTTTTTATTGTAATCACAAATATATATAGTACAATCTTATGAATCAATGACTTTTTGTATGTGTTGGTGTTTGTATGTATGTGATAAATGTGAATTTCTAATGCTACTTACTCTCAGCCTTAAAAATGTGTTTACTTTATACAGGGATATGTATATGCAAGATCAAAAAACGCACAAATAACATACACTAAACCAATGACAGTCCACAACTATTTGAATGCAATGCTCGTTAACCCTGTTGCTCGTGAACAAACAATCGAACGTTTTCCGATGTCATTGTCATTCATGATATAATATGAATTTTATTATTTTTTGTTAGTGCCAGACGCCGAATAAAGTGTCGGCAACAGTGTCAAGGTGTAAACAAATCATCAAACATTTTCCGACGTTGTCATTCATGATGTGTATATATATAGATCATGAATGTATATGCATGTTTTATTATATGTTGATTGTGGCGAATGTAATAATACATGCGACAAAGAATCTGACACCCTTGTACTAGGTTCTCCCGATCTCATTTTTCATTGGGGGGAGGGGAGGGGGCTTAGCCCCTATCCTTGTTTGTATGTATGTGATAAATGTGAATTTCTAATGCTACTTACTCTCAGCCTTAAAAATGTGTTTACTTTATACAGGGATATGTATATGCAAGATCAAAAAACGCACAAATAACATACACTAAACCAATGACAGTCCACAACTATTTGAATGCAACGCTCGTTAACCCTGTTGCTCGTGAACAAACAATCGAACGTTTTCCGATGTCATTGTCATTCACGATATAATATGAATTTTATTATTTTTTGTTAGTGTATATATTTCTGTATATTTTTCTCAGAGGAATGATAACTGCGTAATACCGCGTGCAACCCCCCTGCTAAGAGACTTGGACTAGTACAATAACTGTATATAACATGAAGTTTCCTGAACAAAATGGCGGAAATTTTAATAAAAAATGTTGATGTTTGATCGTACAATACAAAAAAACTGCAGGTCTGTGCGAGTGACAAGAAGTGAATTCGTACTCAGCATATCAAAAACTATAGATTTATGTAAACTAAAAGTAGGTCCCGAATGGGGGCAACGAAATTTGTTTTCTAAGCGACTTTTGGGGTCACAGAATACGGCCTATTAGTGTCAGACGCCGAATAAAGTGTCGGCAACAGCATCAAGGTAGTGTATAAACAAATCATGAATGTATATGCAGGTTTTATTATATGTTAATTGTGTGTATTATTTTAAACCGTAGGCATTAAGAATTGTTTTTTGTGAATCACTGTCGCATCACATATATTTATCAAAAGCTTTGCCAAATAGATATGCTATATGCATCAATCTCAACCTCATTCAGTGTCATGTAAGCAGTTTCTACAGGTGGATATCTATTTACTTTTGGCCAAGAAGTTGCACCACAAAGCCTATATTTATAGAGAGCTTTGCCAAACAAATATATGTGTATATAGTTAACTGCAAGGTGAACTACAAAACTAAGCTTTTGAATATCGATGTGGTTATGACTGACATAATATAAGTACCAAAAGTAAGCAGAACGTTTTCCGGAGGTCTACACTTGCATTTTTGTTGTATCTAAAGAATTTCAGCAAGGGCTCTCAAGTTTCAAAATTAAATAACGTCGGTATGCGTGTATAGATCCAAACTATATTACTAAATTATTAGATATTGATTACTGATTGCTATGCAAGTACTTGCATCAATGACACTGGTAACTGTGCATGGATCTATATGATTGTGTGATGTAATCAAAATTAATAAAATGATTAAACATATTAAAATTTACTTTAATGATCATGTAAGATGGACGTTGGTATCTAGACAAATACGATGCAGCTTCTGCTTTTATTTTTCAGGTAGTTGCATATTTCTCGCATTAATCCACGCATTTATCTAGTTTTATGATGACCTGGATAGAACTGACCGTCGGAATCATAAATTATGAGTCAAGAAATTAAACGCATTATAGAAATTTCTTGGAATTTCACACTCATGTAACCTAACTTTATTTTTTAATTTAATTTTTTTTAAAACGGTTGAAATCCTTGCGTTTTAATATGCAGCATGCTAGCACAGTGTTTTAGGGTTTTGATGAACGGGAATTTCAAGCAATCTTTCTGCACATATTTTGGCATAGGCAGAAAACCCAAAATGATAATTGAAAAGTAAAAAGTACAAGCAACCGAATTTCAAAATGGAGCACTGTATCTGAAGGTGATTACGTACCAGGCGTTTACAGTTTGATATTGAAGAGGGAAATAACACACATTTATACATACATAAACATATATGTAGACAGAATTGAAAAAGAATATTAATTAAAAGACTTGCCCAAGGGAACATTGATATCTGTATTTCTCATTGTGTTTCTTGCTGTATCACCAGAAGAGATGAAGGTCCTTCACTCAAAGCATCGAAGTTCTCCTTGGTCTTGTATTTTCCAGTTATATGGTAAGCGGTCGCTTTTGCGGTCGTCGTGCATCGATAGACAAGTCGTTTGCATCAACAGACGAGTAAAAAATTCCATGATCATCGGCAATAGTTTGGTCAACTTGAAAAAGGAACAAGAAAACAAAATTAAAATTACACCACAACTTTTATTTATAATTATTAACCCATTGGGCTGCAATGCGCCCTACTTATTTTTTTACTTGTCTAACACCAGATGATTTTACATGTCAATTGGGGAGCTCTGCAGCTTAATGGGTTAATAATTCTATTTTAGGAAGCACAAACAGATTAAAATAGAAAAATAGGTACGCAAAGCGTACATGTATCTGCGAAAAAACTTGATTCACATTTTGTATTTCCTTGAAAAGAACTGAATAATGAGATGACATGGGACAATTGAAATATTTCATCACTTATTATTATAATAAATATAATAGCAAATAAGACTTTACCGGAGGGCAGCAAGGACAACTGCCCTCCCAACCCCCCCGCCGAATAAATGTAACTAATTTTATATAAATGTGATTATGATTGTAACATAATTATGCAGTCAAGAAATAAAAATGTCATGCAAACAATATTTGAAGTGTCTATACAGCCAACAGCCGGCTATTTAGTAAACTGTCACTTGTCAAACCATTAAGTTTCAAAACTTTATTATAATCATATGATCAGCAAAAGTTATGTCACTGGTTGTTTACACTTGCCAATGTTAGGGGTGCACTGGAACTCGGTTCCGGTCGGAACCCTGATTTGTGAGAGTTTCGGTTCCGGCCGGAACTAATAAAAAACCATGGCCGAAACTTTGTCCTTTTCAGAGAGATAGAATATCAAGTTTATTTTGAATAGCATAGGACGAAATTTGGACTACACAAGATAAATGTACACTATTAATACTTTATTATGACGTTTAAGTGAATCTTTTTATTCTAACATTTGCATGCTCTCTGAGGCTCTCTCCTTGTATCCTGATTAAACTGCGCTTTAAAACGTTCGATATAAAAATATGACTATCAAAATGAAGAGAGAGGTGGGACGAATCTGCTGGTATGCGGCCGAAAAAGAGAAAACCAACGATACCAAAGTTATCAAGGATCAAACGTACTGCATTTTTTATAATTAGTTGAATAATTTTAAGCGTTTTGTCAACAATAGTCAAACGATTTCGCTTGGCTTTCAAAGACAAAGGCCACAATTTACATAAATCGCTAGAATACTGTTGTTTAGTAAAAATTTGACATCCATAAGTACAATTTCTTACGCTGAATCGAACAGTTAGTCTAGGACCTGTATATGAGTTTGTATGCATTTCATTTAGCACAGGTAATCTCAACTGTTTTAGGGTAAAATGACCATGGCGGTCAACATGGCATATGTGCCAAAAGCTGAATCCGGGACGAAAGTCCTGAAAATGACCCCGCCCTGAAACGGCAGTGTCGACATAGCTCTAACTTCAGAAAACAAAAAGCGATAGTCTTTCTGAAGTGCTTATAGTGTTTGGAAGGGTTGCTTTTAGGGGTGGTCATTGGAAGAAAAATTTGTCCAAGTATAATATTTTACAAGAAAATGACCATGCACCACCCAGGTAAATTGCTGATTATGCATAAAATAACTAATATGCCTGGCAGAAATTAAATATTCTTATTTCCTAAAAAAAATTATCATGGGGTTAAAAACTATGCTTAATTTAATGTAAATATTGTTTATTTCATAAGGATTGTCATTGTTTTCTTTAAATATAATAAATTTTATTTCACTTACCGCCCCACGAAAATGCGATTTCAGCCATATTTTGCCGTCTTGTTTCCTTTTTATCGCCGAATCACGGAAATATCATCCAGTTATTGTACTTTTACATAATCATAAATGGCTGAAGAAGATTTCAAAGAAGGTTTCATCCACTTTTGAAACAGTGCAGTGTATTTTATCTTCGATAATGTGTCCTTCGATATCTCGTCAAATTGCCGCCATTTTAATGGCTCGCCGCTTCTCTGCCCGATAAATGCCACTTCTTCGTTTTCATATGTATTTAGATTACATTATCCAAGAGTACTTCATTGTAGAATAGTCCCAATCCAAAAATTGGAAATATTATTTGTACTTTGGAGGAAAAAACCTCCCAGTACAATTGTCCTGTTAGAATTCAAAACAAATAATTTAAAAGTCACGCGCAAGTTCGCAAAAACACCTCGTGGGTTACATAACAGGGGGGGGTGAATATTTTCACGAATCGTTTATTCGCCACCACAGCAACCTAACTACATGTATTATATTTTTTGTATTTTTATAATTGATGATAAATATACACAAATATTGTTTTTATCAAAAATCACAAATATACAATAAATATAATGTACCTAACTTAGGTTGCTGTGGCCTGTGGCACAGAATAAAGACATACAGAAGTGTATCTTCTTATTAAAAGTGCATAAGGGATTTTTTCAGTCCGCCATGTTCTTAGCAAGTGCCCTAAAGAGAGGCAGTCGCCCCCCTGAAAACATATTGAAAATTTAATATTCCAGGGGGGTGAATGCCTCTCTGTAAGGCACTTGCTAAGAACATGGCCGCCAGCTATTTCGGTGAAAGCGCCTTACAGTTTTGTAATGGAAGTTACACTTCTGTATGTCTTTATTCTGTGCCTGTGGTGGCGAACAAACGTTTTGTGAAAATATTCACCCCCCCTGTTATATAACCCACAAGGTGTTTTCGCGAACTTGCGCGTGACTTTTAAATTATTTCTTTTGAATTCTAACAGGACAATTGTACTGGGAGGTTTTTTCCTCCCAAGTACAAATAATATTTCCAATTTTTGGATTGGGACTATTCTACAATGAAGTACTCTTGGATAATGTAATCTAAATACATATGAAAACGAAGAAGCGGCATTTATCGGGCAGAGAAGCGGCGAGCCATTAAAATGGCGGCAATTTGACGAGATATCGAAGGACACATTATCGAAGATAAAATACACTGCACTGTTTCGAAAGTGGATAAAACCTTCTTTGAAATCTTCTTCAGCCATTTATGATTATGTAAAAGTACAATAACTGGATGATATTTGCGTGATTCGGCGATAAAAAGCAAACAAGACTGCAAAATATGGCTGAAATCGCGTTTTCGTGGGGGGTAAGTGAAATAAAATTTATTATATTTAAAGAAAACAATGACAATCCTTATGAAATCAACAATATTTACATTAAATTAAGCATAGTTTTTAACCCCATGATATTTTTTTTTAGGAAATAAGAATATTTAATTTCTGCCAGGCATATTAGTTATTTTATGCATAATCAGCAATTTACCTGGGTGGTGCATGGTCATTTTCTTGTAAAATATTATACTTGGACAAATTTTTCTTCCAATGACCACCCCTAAAAGCAACCCTTCCAAACACTATAAGCACTTCAGAAAGACTATCGCTTTTTGTTTTCTGAAGTTAGAGCTATGTCGACACTGCCGGTTCAGGGCGGGGTCATTTTCAGGACTTTCGTCCCGGATTCAGCTTTTGGCACATATGCCATGTTGACCGCCATGGTCATTTTACCCTAAAACAGTTGAGATTACCTGTGCTAAATGAAACGCATACAAACTCATATACAGGTCCTAGACTAAGTGGTATTTTTATCCGTATTGCGCCATTAGGCATTACAAATACAAAGACAAACGTATTGCGAGTGATTTGTCTGTCTGTCAGTCAGCAAATATCCTTTTACGTACTGTGAGCGATTTGTCAACAATACAATTTCGCTTGATTTTCAAAGGCCATAAATAGCTAGAACACTGTTGTTTAGTAATACATTTGACATCCGTAAATGCAATTTCTTACGCTGAATCGAACGGTGGCATTTTTATCCTTATTGCGCCATTATACATTAGGTGTCATCACTGTCATTAGACATTACAATATCATATTTCACACTACAGTTTTCACGTTCCACGGCTAACTATTAGGGACTGTTGCTGCATAAATTTTATATTGATATGACACCAATATGCTTCTCATAAAGTAGTTATCTATTAAAACTACGTTGTGCAGTTTAGGTTATAACCTTTTACCTTGCAATTGTCTTTGGCTCGTTTATAATCAGATTCAGTATATTTAATATGATCGTGCACGGGAATTCAAATATCAAATTTCCGATTTTCAGAGTCGTGTACCAAGAAAAATGCATTAACTAAACTAGCAAAAATGCCCAGAGTTAGACACAATGCAAAATCCATAGAAAACCGGTACAATTCGTTGAAAATTTTAACGAAATTGTGTGAAACATTTGGCCCACTCACGAAAGGCCGCCATTTTGAAAAGGATAAATTGGGTTTATTAGTCAGCTCATTAATGCGGGCACGATGTAAACAATCGATGTAAACTAATCGCTGATTGGCTTAAATTGGCTCAATTATATAAGCTCGTCGCTGAATGGCTAGGGATACGGTAACATTACGTTTGCGATAGCAATATATCTGCTTCGCATATACAAAAAGGATTCAACACAGCAGTTTAAATTTCAAGGCCAGGTTTAGATGACGAACATTTCATGTGCCAAATCAGATTAACTGCACAAGTTAAGCAACTGTACAAAATACATGTGTACACTATTATCAGAAATTTCAGTGCTAAATTGCTAATATATTCATATAGAAAAATAGATAAATACTTCAATCCACCAGGCGATTAGAGAAAGTAAATATGTGTGAATAGTACCATGGAAATATTTACCTGACATGTCCTCGTACCATCGTTCTTCTTGCTCAATTAACTTGATATTTTGTTCATGAATCAAAATCTTGGGCCCAACGAAAACCAGCTTTCTGGCATTCGAGATGCCACAACGCACTGATAGAACTTGTCGAGGACCTCGACTCGTTCCCTCCAAATCCGAGAATAAATTGTTGACTCCTTTTGCAAAAACGCCAGGATCAGGCGGTAAAGGTGCAGACTTTCCATGAAAGTAATTCCTCTTCATATTGGAAAAATGCTCTTGCATCAGCAATGACATCAATCACTGATCTGATCAACCAAGCTACTACAGCCATGGTCGGATAAGACTCACTTCAACTTCAAAGATGTTTGAAGATTTGCTCACGAAGATGAAGTTACATGGAGATAATCCCTGTAAAAAGTAAAAAAGACATTTTTAAGGCTGAGAGGAAGTAGCATTACAAATGTCATTTACCCACATACAAACACATTCAAAAAGTCAACCTCAAACCCAGTGTCTTTTCTCTTGGGGAGCAACGACTCTTGTGGATTGCTGGTCACATGATCTGCTAAAATCTAGCAGATTTTTAATTGATATTCAGATTATTTTGATGGTTTAATTTATGCATTTTGTATGCTTGTCGTGAAGGAATCCAAGATAGTTAGAAATCTGCTAGATTTTAGCAGATCATTCTGGACGTTGCTACCAGGCCCCGGTGAAAGCAAGCAACAGAACTCCCCCCAGATATTTACCCCCCCCCCTCCCAAATGAAAATATGAAACCAGTCTCTGAATTATGCTACAGTCAGATTTTTTGCTGGATCTGCCCCTGCTGTTCTTTTATTGACATGTTTTGATGGCAAATGTATTCAGTGATTTATGCGGAAAAAAACAACCTATGGTTCTTGTTCCCGACAGACCCATTTTTTTTGCTGACCTATTGGGTCATTCCAGAAAAGACCCACACTCCCTCCACGGAGGAAATTTCTGCCGTCCGGAGGGGGAGGGGAGATAAAAATGGTTTCTGATAATAGGTAATGTATTAGGACATCCAAAGGAGGTAGGGGGATTAACTTCCAATTTCCTCCGTGGGGGTGGTATGGATATTTTCTGAAATGACCATTGTTTTTTTAACACGATTGACCATGCAACCCTATTTTCTCCAGGTGGTTGCAGGCTGCTGCCAAAATGGCGGCTGTTGTCACACTATTTATTGAAAAAACAATGAAAAAAATACTCAAAAAATTATTTCCGACCTACTGACCCTAATTTTTTCGCAAGATTAAACAGGAACCACAGGGTTTTTTTTATGCCTTACAGTAAAGTGTAAAATTTCCTTTTTTTAAGTGGCTTAAAATGCACCCGGGTACAAAACGTCAAATTGATTTATAGGGGTTCGCTTGTATCCCCAACTCCTGCAGAAGACAAAGTAAAAAACTTTTATTCATATTCATATAAACGAGCTTTGTTTCATTTCATGTATAATATATATAGCAATAAGGCCATATAAAAAAAAATAGTTGGTTAGCGTCCTTAGCTTTTGCCAAAAAGTGGGCGGGCGGGCGCTTTTTTTTAAATTTTTACTAACTTTTAACGCCTTGGTTTTACTCAATGTTAGGTCCGAAACTGGATTTTCTTGCGCAGTACAGATATTTTTTTATATATTTCAAAATATAATTCATACCGTCATTTTCGCATGCAATTTCGCAAATTATTAACACAATTGACTACAGTCAACAGAAATACTACATATATTAGAGCCTGTTGATCAATAAAAGTCGTTTTTTAAAATAAAAAATCCTGAGCGGGGCTTTTTTTGTGGGCGGGCGGGGACGCTAACCAACTAATTTTTTTTATGTGGCCTAACAAGGAAACATTAAAAAAAAAAATTTAACAAACTTTTATACCTTGGCTTTTGCCCCACGTGTTTCAGAAACCATACGCATTTCATCGCCAAATTTCAAACCTTCTCATTAACTTTTCTTTCAAATACTGGAATTAAAACATGTAAACTATTCATGCAACTATAGGAAAGCTTTAAGAATATAAATACGACAGATATAAGCGAAAATATACCTTAAAATGTGTTGTTTTATAAGCATCTTGAAGTCGGTTGACGTGGCCTCGCCCAGTTGCGGTAAACTTCGAAACGAAACTTCAACATTAAATTGTCTTGAAGTACTATTTGACGTCTCTCAAACTATCTTGCTTTTCATCTTGCTTTCACAGCTTCTTTGCAGGTTTGAATACTGATATAAAACATTAAAAAAAAAAGATTTAAAAAAGTATTTTGTACGAAGTTTATTGGAGTTCCCTTCTTCCTCGTGGAACATGACTGCATGGCATTGTGGGACATGCAGTGTTTCCATTGTCAAGATGTGATTTTCAAAGAAATTTATTTCGAAGGAATTTGCGCATCGCACGAGGGTGCGTCTACTCGCAGATTAGTGAGATTACAAGTTTAATAGCTTGGAAAAAGAGATTTCATTTGCAAAACTACGAAATAAAAACGTTGTTCCATCAGTTTAATATTGTCATACAAATATATATTTTTATCGCAGGTCAAATCAAAATTAAAGACGGTGTGTTGTATTTGTGTTAAAATGATCATGAGATTTTACCTTGTAGAAAGCATGTTGTGACACAGCGTCATAATCTTCTCCACATGGTTTAGTCGACCAGAACGATTTGGTATAAACGAAACACATCAGCTCTAACGAATGCTCGTCTGGGCGTCGTCGACACAATTCGTGTGGCAGTTGTTTTAGTGACTGGGCAATTAATAACTGATCTCAGATTCCTGCGATACAGAAAGTAGTGATAGAACCTTGACATAACATTTTCAATGTTAGGAGTGGCAACTTTCTTGTTTTTGTGACATGGTCGGAAGTTCGTTTAAGTACTGGCTATTACCTTCACTATTGGCTTTACATAAACAAAGTGGCTATTTGTACTAGAGTATGGCACCAGACTCTTACATTTTGTAAATTAGTAATTATATAAAAGATTTTCAGCCAGCTAGCTTGCTGCTAGCATAGTTTTGAGCGAAGCCCTTTGTCCGCACGTGCACTTAGTAGAAGCTATTAAGACTGGAATGTACAACTTTCGGAAACTGATCGAAGCAACATCTCTCCGTTGCAATAATTCCTCTGGAAATAGCGTTCCTAAAACTGTATAAGCTACAGATAGATGTTCAGTTTCATGTCGCAGGAAAGCGATCCGAAACTTTGCCTAAGATCTTAACAAAAGGTCTTCGCTTGAAAGGCTTGGTAGTGATATTTCTCTCAATCCGTATAGTTAAAACATCAATAATTTCTTTCAAAAAGGTGTTCACTTACCAAAGGAAGTATATTTACTCGCAATGAGTTTTTGACTCTGGTTGAGTTGAGTTGCTTTGCTGGACGTGAAGCCATTCTCGTTTTATTATATCTCGAACGAGAAGCAAATAAGACCGCACCTATCCTCGTCTCGCTTATTTTATAAGCCAATAATTAAACATGCAAAATGCTGCAAAGTAGAAAATATTTTAATTGCACTCTGTAGCTCTGTTCTTCTCAAACTTGATGTTTATTGGATGAAAGTTGACGTTATTGGGGATGTACAATATAGTTTATACGTAAACCTTCCTCTACCAATGAGAACGCAAGGTTGTTTACGTTGTACTGGTAAATGAAATTCACAATCGCAGTCTCCCTACTCTTCTGAGTCTTTCAAATAAATTTCCTCTATACCAATGAGAATGCAAGGTTGTTTACGTTGTACTCGTAAATGAAATTCACAATTGCAGTCTCCCTACTCTCCTGAGTCCTGGGTCTTTCAAATAACTTTCCTCTGGCTCTATCCAATGAGAATGCGAGGTTGTTTACGTTGTACTGGTAAATGAAATTCACAATTGCAGTCTCCCTACTCTCCTGAGTCCTGGGTCTTTCAAATAACTTTCCTCTATCCAATGAGAATGCGAGGTTGTTTACGTTGTACTGGTAAATGAAATTCACAATTGCAGTCTCCCTACTCTCCTGAGTCCTGGGTCTTTCAAATAACTTTCCTCTATCCAATGAGAATGCGAGGTTGTTTACGTTGTACTGGTAAATGAAATTCACAATTGCAGTCTCCCTACTCTCCTGAGTCCTGGGTCTTTCAAATAACTTTCCTCTATCCAATGAGAATGCGAGGTTGTTTACGTTGTACTGGTAAATGAAATTCACAATTGCAGTCTCCCTACTCTCCTGAGTCCTGGGTCTTTCAAATAACTTTCCTCTATCCAATGAGAATGCGAGGTTGTTTACGTTGTACTGGTAAATGAAATTCACAATTGCAGTCTCCCTACTCTCCTGAGTCCTGGGTCTTTCAAATAACTTTCCTCTATCCAATGAGAATGCGAGGTTGTTTACGTTGTACTGGTAAATGAAATTCACAATTGCAGTCTCCCTACTCTCCTGAGTCCTGGGTCTTTCAAATAACTTTCCTCTATCCAATGAGAATGCGAGGTTGTTTACGTTGTACTGGTAAATGAAATTCACAATTGCAGTCTCCCTACTCTCCTGAGTCCTGGGTCTTTCAAATAACTTTCCTCTATCCAATGAGAATGCGAGGTTGTTTACGTTGTACTGGTAAATGAAATTCACAATTGCAGTCTCCCTACTCTCCTGAGTCCTGGGTCTTTCAAA